ACCACGACCATCCACGCCCAGTGTTCCCTGCCGGACCTCAACCACGATCATCCACGCCCAGTGTTCCCTGCCAGACCCCCACGCCCCTGTCAAAAGCCATGCCAGATAGAATGTCAAAAACTATGCCAGCTAGAATGTCAGAAACCCTGCGTGATGGTGAGTCTTTCAAATATGCATGAATATATGGAACAAAGAGTGTCAGAAGAAAGTTAGAAAGAATGTCAGACAAGTATGTGATATACTAGGTGCAAACTCTGATGTGTGTCTAGGACAGTAGCGGGGCAATGTCAGTTTTCGTTTTGACAGACTGACATGCACAATGACCTGCCAGGTGAAACAAATGATCGGGATAGTTAGTTACGCAAAAGTCGCGTGACAAAATCTTCAGACAAGAGTGGAGTCAACAAGCTGTTTTGAAATGTCATGGTGGGGATCACTCGAAGTAAAGTAATTTGCGCAAGCTACACAGACAACAGAACACTGCACATATCACATAGTAACAGGAAGGGAGGTAAAAGGTGTTTGTAGATTGGCAAGCTCACCGCTTTCCAGGTTTTGCCAAGAAAGCAAGAAAATCATTGATGGGAGAATAATGGCAATAATGGTCCCTGTGTGCACCTTATGGCTTATAAAAGTATACCATACCAGTATAATAACCTTCGTAGGATGTTTGGACCCCAGTTCAGTCCATCTACTGTCAAAAAGCCGCCTGAACAGCCTCAGTGCAACGCATTGGTTTGTCACAGCCTCTAGGGATGGGAAGCGCCGATAGTAGGAAGCCTCCATGGAAGCGAAGCGCCGAATTCCCACATTGCGAAGCGCCGATCTCGCCAGGTTTCTGGGTGACATTGACCAAGTTAGAGAGGCTTCGGTGGGATGGAAATGGTGCGTGTGGCGAGGTTCCCATGTTCCACTCGAGGTGTGTGACTGATGAGACAAAAGTTGAGGTCCTCCAGATGATGTTTTGTTTCCTTGCGTGGTGCTTGATTTTGTGCGCATATATCCATTGCCAATTACGTATTTGTTTTGCCAGCCCTGTGATAGGTTTCTAGAAAGTCTTTGTTCAATCCATCGCCTACTAGCTAGTCGGCCGCAGGGCATTCCTTCCATCATGGTATCGTTGAGGGACAAATCCAAACCAGCGCCAACATATCCGATGTATGTTCTTCATAGTCGCTTCGATATTGGCACCGTTTAATTTTATGAATTGCCCAAATGTCTGTGTGATACTCGTATCAGACATCCACAAAATCAGGGATCAAGGCAGCGATGCTTTATGGTGCAAGAGTTTGTTTCGCCAATAGTAATAGTACTTACTCATAGTAGGCTATCTTCACTTCTCCTTGGTGGCTTTTCCCACGTGGAATGACAATGATACTCATACTCTAGTACTTTGTGACCTCTACAGTCGTTAATAGTTTATCGTTTGTGCTTGTTTTGTTCCCCGGTTCTGGTCCCAGATCACAGTCGGATCCACAATTGAAGCGTGACAGCACCGGCCCGTTTCGCAGTTCTCCCTGGGGAAGAGCGCCTTTCCGTGTCTTGGCCAATGACGACAGGTCGAAGCATCCAAACACCTTGGGTTCCAATTTGGAGGCTTCTCGCAAGGAGGCTCCCCTTGAAGATCTTTGACATACTATTCGTTTTCAAATCAGCACCTCCATCGTTGATTAACTGCGATAATGCTGGCCACACAAATTGTATAAAATTGTACTGACAATGAAAATTAATATGCATGCAAATATCGAAGTTTCACTGCACTTTCACGTAATGATTGAACCCCAAGTAGCACAAAGATCGAAGTGAAGCTCCTCTCAGCAGCGATGTTGAGTTCTTCTGTAATTGTAGTTAATTTCTGTTAATTTATATACATCGCTATTAGGTCGGAGGCCATCGCTAGTAGGTTGGGCTATTAGGTCAACTTACATGTTACTACATGTTGGTCGCCTGCGGGGAAGTTGGTCGCCATCATCCAAGGTGGCACGCACCCAGCTGGTCCCTGGACGGCCAGTCGTTGAGGTCCGAGTTGGGGAGTCGACATGTTTTGAAGATGGAGACGTCGGCCAGCGCGCTGCGATGCCCTGGACAGGCTACTTGTTGACACAATGACAGGACTACTAACAGTATATACTACTGCAATGTAATAAAATTAATAAGTATACTATAGTATATATACGGTTTAAAGAAAGTAAAAATAAACATGTGATGTGAGGCAGTGAGACACTGTCGGAAAAGCTGAAGAATGACAATCCTCCAATCGGTAACAACTTGTTTTTTCTGCCTGGGTCTAGTTTGCTGTTGGTCCCGCGAAGAAAGCTCCGATCAGATTCACAAGTTTTCACTCTAAGCCTATCACAGGAGAGTACCTTGAAAAAAACAAGACGCTGGGCACGGGAAGGTGTTGGTTATATTAACCTGCCAGGCCAGCGCTTTACCATACAACTGGAGGAGTCAATGGCTTCTATCAACGTGAGGCGAAACCTGATGCGATGGGGTTGCATTGATGGGATGCCCAAGTGTTGGTCCAAATGCACAAGACCAAGACAATCAAGTCCCCGTTCGTTGGGATGGCCAAACTGGGCACCTGTTCAGAACGGCAACTCTTGCATAGCTTCCATGATCTAACTGCCCGATTAATGGTTTGGAATCTCGCTTCGAGTACCAAGAGGGTTTTTTTGATGTGGTCATTTTGGTCAAGAGTGGTGAACGTTTGGCTGCTAATCAATCACGTTATTGTTTCTCAGAAAACACAACACCGTTTGACATTGCTTGAAAAAGAGAGATTGCTTCAGTCATGATTTGTCCCATCCGGCCAACGTTTGTCAATTTGTACCCAGTCTAGTTGCACTGATTTCAGAGTTCCAGGATGCTCCAGATGGTGCCATGGTCTTCCAGTATCTTCCAGTCACCATCTCACACAGTCCATCACCAAGTGTACGGCATGGATGCATTCTTTGTTCAAGTTTGTCCACTCAAGTCAAGAGACTGCCATGGACCCCACAGTCACCACCCCGAACTGTCCATCTCTTTGCTTGTTGGCTCGGCAGGGCAACATCCTGCGGCGTCCCAAGCCGAACATCACTCCAGGGCCTGCACATTATTTCAAGGAGTGACCAAACTGAACTGAGGGAAAGCGGGGAACATGTCTCGAGCAGAGTTTCCTGTTCCATGGTAGCAGAAACGAGCCGCAGGTGGTGTCCTGTGTTCCATGAGTGCGCACATTTGTGCACCCTGCCGGAGGATAGCCATTGTGGCTTGTCCATGTTCTGTGACTACTTCTGACCTCAAGGGCATGAAGCTGTCTAAGAAGCCGTCAGTTGCTTCGAGAGGCCGGATCAAATCTTTGTAGCTCTTTGTACACTTGTTGTTGTGTTTGATTTTCTGAGATTGGAAACTGGCTTGCCAGATGCTGTTTCCAAACCAATCATTTCCCAATTCCGGCCAGTCTGCAGCGCTTGCAGGCTTGGGGGTTCAGCATTTGATGTTGGAAAGTGCAATGAAATGCAGCAAGTTGAGGTGACAAGGTTTGGAGACTTTCTTAAAAGCACACAATTGTAAGTGATGCTCAACACGGTTGATGCTGCAACCCCTCACCGAAATACCATAAAGAAACAGATGGGCAGAGATGTTATATGATTTTCGAGAATTTGGCCAAGCCAAACACTATATACTTCGATCTTGCAAAGCAATAACGAACATTTATTTTAATCAATGACATGAATAAAAATAATTTCCAAAAAATAAAAAAAATATATATTAATTATAATATAATTGTATAATCCCTACCCCCTTGCCCATGGATTTTGGGGGGGGGCGTCAAAAATGTAGCTTATATTTTCTGTTCCTTGCGTTAGGTGTTTTTCTAATTATACGTCCCCTTGTGACATACTTTGTTGGGGGGGAGGGGGTCTCCAAAAATGTAATTTAGGACGTCCGAGGCTTGTATTTATATTTATTACCCCTTTCCCAAATTATTTATAGGGAGGGGGAGGTAGCCCTTTAGGGGATACCTTGAGTTTGTCTTGCGAAGCAAGTGTTGGGACGTTCGGATCTAATAATTGATCACTTAATTTAGACCTCCCCCCCCCCCCCCCCCTTCGAATTGACTTTTCGTCATCAGCCCCCCCCCCCCCCGCCCGCCCCCTTGGAATTATTTTTTTTCTATATATAGCCCCCCCTCCCCCTCTAAAATTAATTCTTTCTTGGAGATCGTTTTTGTGAATTTTTTATGATTTTAGGATTTCCTCTTGAATATTTAGAAAAAATGAATATGAAATTCTAATTACGAAAGGTGTTTTGTGAAGCACGTTAATTCTCTCTTGGGGAGCGTCTTCGTGAGTCTCTTATGATTTTAGGATAATTTAAATCTTATGATGTTCCGGTTTAATGCTCACCGATGATCTGAGCCATGGGGCAAATTTGTTTTCTTAAGAATTTTTTTGAACATTTCGAAAGCATATGTTTAAACATTTTAATTACATATAAATATATATATATATACGAAAGGTCGCCTCCGAGGGGATAAATCACCATATCGAACATTGCATTTTTGTTCCTGCTTCTCGCATTTTCTTCTCTTCTCGCTGTCCTACCTTTCGTATTTTCGTCCTCTTAAGTTTATTACCTCCGACGTGTGTAATTACCTTTTCAACACCCCCCCCCCTAAATACTTGCAGTGTGGCACTTGGAAGATACGGGGCGGTGCACTCCGACTTTTCCGGGCTTTGAAAAAAAATCGCTGATTCTGCTTTGACATGTTGAGAAATGCTATACTATTTAATCAAGGCTCAAAAATGTAACATATATTTTTGAAAAAAATGTAATATAAATTATATTTTTGAGGCCTGGGGGGTGTCTGACCCACCTTGATGCCTCAAAATTGTAAGTTATAATTTTTGAGGTGGTTTAGTAATTGTAAATTATAATTTTTGAGGTATTAAATCTAGGAAATTGCAACTTACAATTAGGTGACGCCCCCCCCCTAGGCAATTGGTAGGGATATTTTATATAAATATATGATATTATATGAATTAATTCTAAAATTACTATTCATTATGTTTGAATAAATAGATTATTTATCTCGTTTTATTTAAGTTTTGCTTGAAAAATGATATGGTATTCGGAAAGAACGATATTTTTGTAGAATTTAGTTGAATTTAGTTGAAGTTTTTTTTGATATGTTCGTTGTTCGATTGTAAATTATTTGTTTTTGAAAGGGGGATTTGGTTATATTAGTTATGTGGCGTGGGGGGAAATGATAATTTATTTATGGTTGTTTAAGTTGAATCGTTAAAAGTTGTTATTGTTTTTTGATGTCGTTAGGTATACTATGGTTATGGAGATTAACGTATGTTGTAAAATTGTTGTTGATTTTTTAGTATTATTGGTTGTATTTTGATAATGGAGGCTAAATTATTATTGTTGGTGTCGGTTTTAATTTTGTTGTAATAATTTAGAAATAAATTTTATATTATAAATATAATTAATATAAATATATATTGAATAATGTTTTGTTTTATATTGTGATTGTTTTTACAATTACAATTTTATTTTATGCAAAATAAACAAATTTCGCATAAATGATGTTGGTTCTAATAATATATTTTCTCGATACCCTTCTATTGAGGTTAGATGAATAAAATAATCCATGGATTTGATTTCCTGTAGATATCCCTATATAAGGTTTAATTTATTCTTTTTGCGCCATGAGGAAGATAACAAAAATTATGATTGCTCTGCGATTGCTGCTGAAAGAGGCATTGGCCAATGAAGCAGAAGATCTTGAATTGATAATTCGTGCTCGGGAAGTAGTGCCGGGAGAAACCAAACGAATGCGGGTCAAAGATACCGGATTAGAAGGGAACCAAGCCAGCTTCCGCCTTGCGCCCCACGTGTCTTTTCTTCTGAGGCCAGCCGTTTCGGGCGATGGTTCGATGGCCACAGCCTTGGCCCTCGCGGCAAAGGGCCTTGCGATAACGAGATAACGGGAGATCGTTTCAGCGGCACTGAGGCTCCACTCCACCAGATTTGTCTTTCAATTGCACTTTCGCGGGCCAAAGACCTCTAATTTCAAACCTCTTTAAAGGATGATGGTTTGTCAGGACCTGCGAGTGTCAATATTTTGATTAAACCATCTGATTTGTTGCCCTTGGATGCTGCACTGTGCAGCCTCACGTCATGTCAGGCAGGTGCCCAAGGGGCTGCGAGCACGTCATGTCAGCTCTCTTGAAGTTCTAGGCCCTCGGCTTGATTGAGCTTTTGCCCTACTGGAATTGCCAATGTGTTTTGCATTAATAAGTTTGCCACAGCGGCGGTGGTTGGAGGACTATTTATGGAAAGAGAAATATAAGACCCCTTCCAAGGACCAGTAGCATGAACTCATCGAGCGGGCTGCTGCAAGGCCAAAGTTGGCTGCAGCCCCCCAGATTGCTGCGGCGCCTAAGACAGTTGTAGCCAAGAACAAAGCAAAAGTAATATAGAGCTAAAATTCCAGAGCCGGTCCGTGGGTAGAGTGCCCTTTTCGAACGGTATGTGAAAGATGCTTGAAAATAATGCCGTGATTTGGTGGAGATTGCGGATCTGCGCAACTTCCTGGAGGCAAGAAACCGTGATGCACGAAAGATGGATGCTATTGCGCCTGTCTTGGTTGTTATCAACGATGTTGATTCTCAGAAGAAGCCCGGACAACGAATAATTTTCATATCACCCACACCTATTGCGTGTCATGTCCTCCATTGGCTCAGGCTGGTAGCAAGCTTGGTGTGAAGGTCTTTAATCACATATTTTCCAACATGGTTGCAGCAACCAATCTCACCAATGACATCGAGCTCATGCCTAGAAAAAATTATGCCCCTGCTTATAGGCGAGATTTTTTGTCAGAGGTCGGAAGAGAACGCTGGGACCACGAAATTAGGCCCCTAGGACTTCTTCATGACGAAATATCCTTGACTAGGAGGCAGGCAGCGCAAAACCATTTGATAGCAGGGGTTGCCGACCAGTGCACAGGAATGCTTGCTGCACACAGCTTGATTTTGAGAAAAGGGTGAGGCGGGCTCAGAAACAGAAGCAAGTGGCAGCAACAAAACAAGATGGAGCCCACGAACCCGAATGCAAACACGTTCAAAAAGCTAGATATGTCCAAATGACACTCTTGTAGGACACTCTTGTGGGACACTCTTGTGGGTCACTCTTGTAGGAAGCTCTTGTGAGACACTCTTACGGGACACTCTTGTGGGACACTCTTGTGGGACACTCTTGTGGGATACTCTTGTGGGACACACTCTTGTGGGACACTGTTGCGGGACACTCTTGTGGGACACTCTTAAGGGACACTCTTGTGAGACGCTCTTGCGGGACACTGTTGCGGGACACTCTTGTGGGACACTCCTGTGGGACACTCATTTGGGACACTCTTGCGGGACACTCGTGTGGGACACTCTTAAAGGACACTCTTGTGAGACACTCTTGCGGGACACTGTTGCGGGACACTCTTATAGGACACTCTTGTAGGAAACCCTTGTGGGATATTCTTGTAGGACACTTTTGTGGGACACTCTTGTAGGACACTCTTGTGGGACACTTTTGTGGGGCACTCTTGTGGGACACTCTTGTGGGACACTCTTATAGGACACTCTTGTGGGACACTCTTAACTCTTGTCAGACACTCTTGTGGGATACTTTTGTAGGACACTCTTGTGGGACACTCTTGTAGGACACTCTTGTGGGACACTCCTGTAGGGCACACTCTTCGTACGAGACTTCCTCCAAAAGTCACGCTGCGAGGCTGCAAGACGAGCGTTTCGTACGAGACTTCCTCCAAATGTCACGGGTCAAGTCTCAAAAACGAGCGTTTCGTAGGAGACTTCCTCCAAAAGTCACACGTCAAGTCTCCAAAACGACCGTTTCGTACGAGACTTCCTCCAAAAGTCACATGTCAAGTCCCCAAAACGAGCGTTTCGTACGAGACTTCCTCAAAAACTCACATGTCAAAGTCTGCAAAACGAACGTTTCGCACGAGACTTCCTCCAAAAGTCCAGCGGAAACACCCATCGGAGCCGCAGCCCTGCCAAGCAGTTTCGCGATTCTAGCTCTCCAAACGACACCCGCTCACACGCCAATCCCAATGTGACAGCGACATTCACCTCTACCACAACCCACAACCTCCCGATTCCCTGCGCCTGCCACGAATCTTTCCGCGTCCACACGTCTAACGCGCACAGAGTACTGCGCATGCCACGAAATGTCACCTCCGTCACACATCGCAACCTCACGATTCCCTGCGCCTGCCACGAAAATCCCACTTCCACACCTCAAAACCCGCACAAAGTCCTGCGCCTGCCACGAAAAGTAACAATGTCATCTCATGTGAACTTCAACAAAATTTCCACCACACCACACGTTTGGAATGATTTCGACCCGTTCTGAGCACACTCCCATCCACCAAAATCGGCATTTCAGCTGAGACTTGTCACGAAAACAGAGCTTCGATGCCACACCCTGAAATGCAAATCCCAATGGCACGGCCACATCCAACACCCCAAAAACACGACTCTCCAAACGCTAATCCCAATGGACCTACGCAGCACTCTGCAGATCTCACAAAACGCTGCGCCTGCGCAGCGAAATGCATCACGCTTCTTGCGCCACATCTCATTTTCATGCAAATCACAATGGAATAGCGGCGCAAACTGACACGTGACACATCCATGAAAAGTCACTTGCAAAAGCTTCCCCCA